TATGAATCCGCCAGTTGAAACTTTGCCAAGTAGATCTTTTAAAACGATCATTAAATCAAGTTGCTTAAACTTTTGTGAAATGCGGAATATTTCAGACCGGGGAGAAAGTGGATATAAAGCGTTATTTCCTTATAAAGTTTAAAGTAAATTTTTGTAAGACACATTGTTGTATTTTCTCAGCTTGAACGAGAGAGAGAGAGAGAGAGAGAGAGAGAGAGAGAGAGAGAACAGAAATACTTTTTGAGCTATGATGCCTTTGAAAATGAAATCTCATCAAAGTTTAAAATAGAAAATCTCGTTTGTTACTTAATTTGAAATAAATTTTAGTTTAATACAATCATAATTTTTGGTTTAATTATTGGAACTGAATGGTAATATTCGAAACATTATGAGAAATAATAACATCGGCGTTTACATTAAAGGAGAATCGCTCTTAAACTTCACGATACGAACGACGTTATGGTTTTATTTTTCGAATTCTGGGGCAACTCTGTATATTTTTGATTTTCCTTGTGTAGTCGAATATGCAGATCAGCGTCCCATTTTCAATAGATGGAGATACTCTTGATGAAGCGCTTGTAAGCTTCGTGTAAGCGCTTGCAAACGGATCAAGCAACCTGCAGCGGAAACAAATAGCTTGCGATACGCTCCAATCGGTACACTATGAATACATCCGGAATGACATGTATACAAGAGAAAGGCCAAATATACTCGTAATCCCGGTGATCTCCCGTCCACGTAGCTATTTTCCGTCATCATAGTTGCGTCATACATATTATTTATATCACAATTGTTTGAAATAAATTCCATTCGTGTTACAGGCGCATTTCAACGCGGCGACGCCCTTAAGTGTCAAACGGTTTCCCAGAACCCGAAAATATCCCGCGGCGATCCCTCGGCTTTATCGCGAATTTATCCAAGAGGAGCCATCGAAGCGACCGGAGAAGCCCTACCAGCTACAACCGGCCGTGCGAACTACCATCGACGGCGGAAATTTCGAACGTCCGATAGCTATCTACATATCCGTTTATACGCTTGTCCATTTCTCGCGAAAACACGCCGTTATCGATCTCGTATAGATATATCGCTGCAGTATTTAGCCGCATTCAAAATTCATTCAGCCGTCGGGATTCAGGCTGTGTCTGTACGGCCGATACGACCGCGCGTACATATATGTGTAAAAATCCGACGTATCGAGCGTTCGTCTTCATGCCTGCAAAATATCTCGCTTTTGTCATCAGACAGTTTCTCCTTTCCTCGTACGGATTCACTTTTTCATCCTCTTCCACTCTCTCTCCCTCTCCCTTTCCCTCCTCCCCCCCCTCTCTCTCTCTGTCGCTCTTCCTCTCTCTTTCTCTCTTCCTCGCGCGCAATCTCTTTACATATGTAAGAATCCTTTTGACTGGCATTATGTACATAGCGGGACAACGCTGGACGAGAAAATCCTGAAATCCTTCAGCCTTCGGCCATATTTAGGGATAATGGCACATAATGGGTATCGCGTATAATGTCGAAACGATCGAGTCGAAGTTATTGAGCGAGCGAGTCAAGCGGCGGAGGAGAATTAAATGTCTTACAATCCGAGGTTTACGCATACTGTATCGTATTTTGCAAAAGAATTAGAGCGAAGCTTATAGGGAAAATGTAAAAAAAAAAAGCATACGTTTATTGTTGCGTAAACTCAATTTCAATAATTGCGCTGGCGTATTAAATCTGGCAATCGTTATAATGACAGGAAGAGAAATAGAGGGAAAATGAATTGTTATTATTATTAAGAATGTTATTAATGCAAACATATATATGTATATATGTACATCAAGCCATCACAATATATAGTGGGATATTAGTTGCACCCCAGATATTTATCGTAAACATGTCAACTGAAAAAATTAATTCATCAGCAAATAGAAAAATGTCAGTATTTTATCTCGAGACAGAATAAACTGCGCGGACGTTGCGACGCGGACGCCTCGACGTACCGTCGAAAATTGAAAGAAAAAAAAAGATACTCACGATCATAAATCAATCTGTTATTTTAGTATTTATAGCGCGTGCATTTATACATGACCGTCGGTCATGCACGACACGTATAGATCGGACACGTCGCGTGTGACAACCCGTTTCGCTTAAATCATGCACGACGGAAACTTGACGTCGGATGTAGTCGGAGCCTAGTCCGTTAGGAAGGAAAAAAACAAGAGGGAAAGCGGGAGAAAAGGGAAAAAGGAAGGAAACGGAAGTCCAGTCACGGAAATCACACAGCGTGCGTAAGCAACCGAAATCAAATGTCTCTTTATTAAATCGTTCGAGCAAGGTCGTACCGAGCACACTTAATTCCTCCTCTCGGCCAGAATCCCTCTTGACAACATTGATTTTCCTACCGCAGAGAGAGAGAGAGAAAGAGAGACGAGAGCCACGTCGTTCTTCGATTACGTGTTCTTTCCAGCGAAAGAAATGCCCATCGTGAGAGAGAAGCTTTACGTTCGCAACTACCCTAAGTGACGCGGAATCTCGAAACAGCTTCAGCGAAGACAAGCGACTGTAAAGGTGCAAATTCATAAGACGCTTGCTTCAGCGTTAGGACCATGGCACACAGAAAATCTTAAGCAGTAAGATGTAAGCAGTAAAGAAATCAACATGGATTTTTGGCAGTCACGTAACTTCGACTTTGATGCTAAAAATGAGCCGTCGGTATGAAAAGGTACCTTAAAAGTAACTGCTTCATGGCTTTACTTACAAAGCAAGAGCGGTTTCACTTATGCATGGCACGTTGCTAATAAACACCAGGAGATATTTTAATTAGTGATGACTTATTTTTGTACATCGAATCTTCGTGTATTTAATAATTATTATTTAGAAGTAATTTAGTACAGAGCCCAGTAGTAAAGAGCCCAGTAGTATTTGACACTGCTCTTTAGCAATTTATGACTCACGCAATTTGTCATCCCAAAAATGATTAAAAATATAATAATACAAAAATATTTTGTGAATTTTATGAACTGCATTTTATGAATTACTGTACGAATTATTACTTCTCAAAAAAACATTCATATATATTTTGACAAGTTAAGAGATTTTAGTATCATAATAGAAATAAATTTCAGTGAAGAAGTATACATAATAAAAAGTATATATAATTAAAAAAAAAGTACATTTATGAAATACGTCAATTATTAAAAAAAAAAACGCAAAAAATTTATTATGCGTCATCGTTATACAAAAATTTTTCTTTAAAACTTCATAAATATCCAACCTTCTTCGTATCATTATTTTATATTCCCGGCTACATCTTGTCAGACGGTCTTTCGTTCTCCGCGATCAATACTTTTTTCACGGCGTGAGAAAAAAAATCAATAAATTCCAATGTGTCATCCTCTCGACAAAAACTCTAGTACGTTGCAAGCGTAATTGCGTTCCCCTACAACGATATATAATATACGTACAAAAGAGACCGCCTTGTTAAGCCAAATTAAATGTAACATTCTCATTATACCTTTTTTGAAAAAATAAAGTATAAATAAACGATATAAGAAAATGTATTGTTTTTCAAATAATGATATTTTCGCGCAAACTTCTCGATTATAAGTCGATTCTAACAAAATCTCATAAAATTTGTCTGTATAATGGTTATATAATTCTCACATGTTACAGAATAATAATAATAATAACAATAATAATATATTATATAATGTTTAATCCAAATTATAAAATATTATTTTAATGTTAAAATAAATTAAAATTATATTACTCTCTCTACTTTATAAAGTTAAAATATTGTCATATCGACAAAGAAAAAGAAAGAAAAAAAAGAGACAATCTCATCTATCTAATATCTAATATTTTAAATTGCTGTAATATCGTAATAGATAAGAATGTGAAGAATAAAGAGTGAGTAACAGTAAAAAATAGTAATAAAATGATATAGACCGAAACATAATGATCACCACGTTGTAGAAATTCTACTTCGTGGCGAAATTTTATGACTTCGCATGTGAACAGCCGCGTTCAATCTTCGATCTACCAATCTCGCCCATCTTTATTCCACACGATCGACACTTTTTCCTAACCTGTTATAAGAAAAGTACGTGAGAAAGATAGTAAAAACCCGTCATGTCACTCTGCAAAATTACATCGTGTCGTTGGCAAAGTTGTATGAAAGACGTTCACATTACATGCGCAATGAATATTTTAAAATCACAACACTACAAAATAAACACTATAAGATATATTTCTTCTGTGAAACATACGTATTGGAGAATAAATATTATAATCTCTAAAGAAAATCTTTTCTTTTTTAACGAATAAATTTTAATTTTTTTTATTCGATTGTAAGAATTAATAATTTAGTTATGTAATGTCTTTTTCTATAACTAAATAAATATAAAGTTAACGAATGTATTATAACTTTTGTCACTTGCGCGATTTTCAATTTGATTTTGAAAAAAGCTATAATATTTATAATATTAAAACTTTAATAGTAAATTTCGTGCGGTACCTTTCTCTATATTCCACTTTACGAGATAACGGTATCCCGTTTCTTGGAATATTCAATTAGCGCCTTTGCATTTAATGAAGACGAACGCTCAAGCAGCGGGATAACCGCAAACGTTATCTAATTACTTGCAAAATTGAATCTACCTGCAGATGATACTCCTAAGAAATTTCCTTTCATCCGCAGTTGTTTGCGCCCGAAACTGCATACACATCTCCAAAGACGCAATTTCATAACAATTTATAAAAGTTTATCAAAAATTGACTTACATCATCAAATTATAAGACACTTTTCTGTCATTTGCAATTTTCTGGAATAACCATTTGCTATATATGTTAAGTTCATAATTAAAAGCAAATCCTCTTATTTCATATAACTGTGTCTGAAGAGCACCTCCCGAAAAAGATGAAGGATGGGCGCAAGACGCGGATAATATCCGTTTCATGCTCCTTATATTTTCATTTTCCATAATATATTACCATGAAAATATGATCAATTAAATTTCTATTTGAAACTCACAATGTTAAGCCGATTACTTTTTTAAATACATATTAAAAATAATAATGAAGAAAAAGTTAATCGAAATAATGCATTATCGATAATGGGTGAATAAATATTATAAAACAAATTTAAAATTAGTTCATAAGTTAATAACAAGAACAGTTGTAAAATCATCTTCAATTTTTCTTTTTATACGCTCTACTATTTGTCTCTTTGTCTCTTTAAATCAATCTTTAAAAATTATTAACAAGGCGAAAATCAAATAAATTTTTTTTTAATCTTAAATAGAAAAATTTAAATTTTTTCTAAAACTTAACTATCACATATTGAAGATTGTGTAATATTGTGTAATATGTGTATATACTTTAAGATTTCAAAAGTTTATTTTACGGACCGAATAATTTATTCTTTAACATAAAATTATATTTGATCTTATTTTATTAAAACAATGTGTGACATAAATTATGACGATGCTGTAGCCTTACGGCTAATCAAAATACTAAAGGTAGTAAATCCAGGTAATGCGGACATGCATTCGGTATTTTTCATAATCCATTTTATCTAGACACGCGTACTTGAGTCGATTGATGAACCACTATTCACTGAACGCTAAAGCTATAATAACTCATGTTTTTAGAAAAGACTCACATCCGGATCTTCGATCATTTTAAGCATCGATTTTAAAACCATAACGATATTGAACAATCTAAAAGTATGTGTTGTAAATCCATATATTTATGGATGTATAAAAATGTATGGAGTGTATATAAAATCGTGTAGAAAATTTTCTTTAGAAAAAATCTTTAAAATTTACATGTTAATGAATAAGAATTCTATCCCAATATATTCAAATCCTATTAAGAATTTTGTAAAACTTTTTTTATATAATATTTAAAACAGAGAAATTAGAATGTAAGAATGTTATGTGTACGTTTTATATGTAGAAAAAATGAAAATAAAAAAAGAGAGAAAGAGAAAGAGAGAGCCTTATCTTTGATCTTATTCAAAATATCTATTAGTACCATCCCTTGCCATTAACTGAAATTGTAACACTGTTATAGTCTTTATAGCCATAAATGTAGACATCACCATATTTTATTTCTTATCTGTTATCATTTTATTATTATTATCATTTGTTATCTTAATGTTATATATTGATTTCTTATATACGATTATATAATAGAAAAAGAAACGTAAGAATAATGGTAGAAACGGCCAAACAATGTAAATTGGTTACAAAAAACAAAATAATAAATGTTTATTATTTTTAATAATTAAATAATTAAATTTAATAATTAAATAATTAAATAATTTTTAATAATTAAACATCTGCTAATATATAAATTAAAAAAATGATTTTTAGGAATTATTTTTATATTTTTATATTTGGAGTTACATATATAATTTAATATAACTTTATTTAACATTTTTAAAGAAATTAATGTGCAAAATATGTAAAAATATAATTTTTAGCTAAAAAAGCAAACAAATTGTATAATAAAAAAATTGTCGAGATAATAATTAAGCACTTTACATATTTACAATATGTTTCAATTACATACTGATATATATTTCTCTTTTTATATATAATTTGTAACGTATATATATCGAAAGCTCGATAATTGTATCTTATTTTAATAAATATATATATATATTTTGTTGAGAATAAAATAATCTAATAATTAATTTCTACGCAAACTTATATATAATTTTTTTATTCATTTCAAAACTCACCTTACACCGTGGACGATTGTAGTCCTCGATCTCTTCTTGATTTTTTCAAGGCAACCTGCATCCGTCGCGTTCTACGAAATCTATGATCCTAGCATTGACAGCACGAGAAATTCTCTGCTCCGCGTAATGTAAATTTGTCATTTTGAATATTTCCATTATAGGCATGACATAGCGATTTTTAATTTTATCTTTGTTACACGATAGAGAATTAATAGAGTATATCATCGAGACGGAAAGTCACGTATTCGTTATGCGAAGTGGAAGATTACGTTGTCGTCGGTTCATTTCTTTCTCGATATCGGAGACTTCTGTTTTGCTGAGCCTCGTGGCATTCACCCGGTTGTGCTGTCTCTTATCCTCATGGATGGTGTGTTTTCCTTGTCAGGGAGGCTCTCATTCGCTTCACGTCACGACAATGACACCCGCAAATATTGTACAAACGCAAGTCGTTCGCTCAATCTCCTCTTTACGTGACATCTTTGATAATCTTTTTGATATTGCGAACTGACAGTAAACGTAAAATTTTTACGGGTTATTTATCGTCAGGATCTTCGACAAGTGCATACGACAGTCTTCTCTATCCTCGAGTTGTAACAGGTACGAATACTTCCAGCTGGATGGTACTTACAAATTGCTCCGTCACTAAGACGCGCCGGAGGAATCTTCGCCCGGGAGATGCTCCCTCGTTGTTGGCACGCGGTGTAAGATATGAGGAACGGGAATAAATTCTAGAGCACACGTGGAGCGAACGTGCGTACTACGTGCGTGGGTGGTAGCGTACTACTGAGTTTCACGTTCGCGAAAAGCCAATCCCAACCCACCCCCACCGCATCGCATCCTAGGCACCCTTCCAGGTCCTCTAGCACCCTCTTCACCTCCCCGTTTTACCACCCAGGACTCGCGCACAGGCACGGATTTCTCTCTCTCTCTCTCTCTCCCCCCTCTCTCTCTCTCTCTCTCTCTCTCTCTCTCTCTCTCTCTCTCTCTCTCTCTCTCTAACGGCTTTCTCAAAAGCGTCATACATTTCTTTGTACAATGCAATTATAATTTTATTTAAACAGATTATAAATAATATACGCCCCGAAGTGTTTGTGTATTAGCAGAAATGTCTCTAAATGTGTGCAAATTATAGAAACGTTGATCGCAATTTCAGACGTATTCAACTGATAAATATATCAGAGATAAATGTATTGATAGAATTTCGTTCACGCAGGTATATAACGGAATTCTCGCATTTCGCACGTGCACGATCTCCTAAGTTTCGCGTAAACATCCGAAATTTCCTAACAATCTCGAATATTTGCCGCTAACCGATACGAAGCAAATTACCAGCGCCGCCGTCGATCCGAGCCGAAAAATATTAATATTGCCGTAGCGTAACGTGGAATATTGTAGAGACGAAAATCTGGGTCATTTTGATACGGCTAGAATTTCGCGTTCTATTAAGCTGTAGTCTATTACGTCCATATGGCTCTTGTAAATCACGAAGGCAGCAGAACTTCGTGGTGTTTCTTTATTTTTCCGACCGACATTCAACTCGATCTTGGACACGCGGTGTACAAATGCGTTCTTTCCTCGTCCCTCGGCTCACCAGCTGTAACGATTGGCGCGAGCTGATATATGTATGTCATCGGCAAGGTCGCCAAATACAAGTATCTACAGCAAGAGTTGCAAAATTAAAAGTGCTATAAGAAAAGTTACGAAGCTCTCGGAAACTTTCACTTGGACAGATGTAATTTAACGGGAGCGAGAACTTGACGTATTTCACGAAGTTGAGATACATAAATTTTTATACTCACAAAGTACATATGTATATGTAAATATATTTATTTATTATCACAAATGACGTACTTTTTATATAAAGATAGTGTTACCTTTGACACGAAGAGGCAACCTATTGCATCCCTGAAAATCAGCTGTCTACGTTCGAGATTACTATCTCCGTGAAAAATTAACTTTCTCATAATTGGACATGGCACGGTATTCCGCGCCTAAGACAATCTCGGCATTACAGATGATTGATCGGGAGCAATAAATCTCGTTGCAGGGCCGAGGGTTTCTTGGCTAAGAGAGTCGTCGAAAAAACGTCGGGATAAATGGATAAGGAGAGGCGGTAGGTAAAACGAAGAGCGAGAGAACGGCGCAGAAAGCAGCGCAGAAAAGACCGAAGACGGACGGCTCGCGCTCCTGAGTAAGATTTACAAAGCTGAGAGGGAGAAATAAATGTTCGCCGTGCGACAAATAGACTCGAAGCAGGGATACTGTCGCCGGGTGCCCCGGCGCATTTTAAAAGGCATATTATACAGTAGACAACCTAGATTATGTATTACAATGTCGTTTTAATAATACCGAGGGAATTTCAACGCGGAATTTTCAGGATCTTGTTATAAATCTTCTTTTATTAAATATTTTATTAAAAAGCATATATAGATGAAGCATGTTTGAGATGTAACACTTTTCCAGCATTATCGAGAGATAAGCACAAAGACAAGCAATAGATTTAACTGATAATTAACCCGTGTTTAATCTTTACCTATTTTTTAGAAAGAAAAAAACGATAGAAATTCTTAATACTTACTAACGGGCTTAAGATATATCAATTTGTTTCGACTATAATATAATAAAAATCCTCGAATATTATTAATAATAACAAAAAAATGCTTGGGAAAGTCGTGTAAATCTTGAATATTTTATAATAAATATATTTGTATTTTTTTCTTTTATAATATTATATGTTCCAATCTATCCTCTATTTTATACAAAGACACGAATAACAATTTTATTTTTAAGAATCTTGAAAATGTTTCAGATATACTCAACCACTTCTGATAAAAGATTCTCCTGACAAAAGATTTTCTAGGCATTCGAGTGTTTCAAGCGTTTCAAGACACTTAGAATTTACTGAAATCGTTCAGATTTTCCAGAACTTCCGATTTTCTGTCATGATATCCGCAAAAATGCGAATTTTTGTACAATTGTATTATTTGAGAACTTTCGAAAAAAGAATTCAAACACCCATCGCTACCCGCTGGCGCTTCGATACAACTTTTATCTGACATTTTGATCTCGCCAATGCTTTTACTTCTACAGCTTTGCTTTTACAGTCTACAGTTTCCCAACTTGTTCATCGACGTTGCATTCGACTACTGTCGAGGGTGGACTACAAACACTGAAGATACTCGATACAGAAGGCAAAATGTCGGCGTTGTAATAACACCGTAAGCATCCCCCGACCGATCGGATAGGCATCCGCCCGCTATTCGGTATGAGGCTAGACGACTTCCAACTTTTATTTGACTAGACTAACCGGCGCCCTGGCTCCGATAGTCTGGCCGTTACCGCTAAAGGGGGACAACGCAGACGAAGTGACGAAGCGGTGTCGGTGGGGGGAGGGGAGGAGGGTTGGGATTATCGGCGCACCGAGGCGGCTGGATGCGAGAGGGATAGCGACGGCCAGAGTGCCAGAGGGAGAGAGCCGAGTCGTAGAGATATCGATTCATCCAAATCCACGGTGCCGGCACAAATGGGTGCATGGACCGGCGGCCTCGCGTCCATCGCGCGATACCAGATCACATCGCGTTATGTTGTGCAACCGGGGAGAGAGAGAGAGAGAGAGAGAGACGGTTTCAGGTCCCCCTCCTCCCTTCCTCCACCCCCTCGTTCGTCCACCCTCCTCCCTCCTTCCCATCCCCCGAATCTAACCGATGTAAATTCCATTATTGGCCGACTGATTCCGCCGCGTTAAACGCAGCAACGCGTGTATATCGGTTACTTTCTGCATTTATATACGATCATCCAAACGACGCTGAGTCGAGCGCGTTTCTCCAACGGAACGGAACGGGATATTTCGGGTGTTGTGCCGCGGAAGCCGTGGCGTCAGCGAGAAAAATCCGAGACTTCGTTTTGTCCGAATCTATTTTCATGGGTATCAACGTGCGTGAAAAAAAGAGAGAAAAGAAGAGAGGAGAAAGAAAAAGAAATAAAGAGAGAATATTTGGTTTTGTGGATCTGGAAAAAGAACGCGCGTTGAGAGGGAGGTACGCTCAGGGAAATCGCTTGTTCTCCCATATCGCGGCCGTTTTTAAATGTTCCAGCCGTAACTCGATAAAATTTGGAGAGCGTACTCTTTCCAATAAAAATATAGAAGTGATGCACTATAAATGCAGCCGGATAATTCAATATTTTTGCACTCGTGTGTGTATGCGTACGTGAAGATATTACTATTGCCACATATAACGTTAGATAATAATATATTATCATATATATATACTTATTTCATGCATACTTGTGAAAGATTAAATTTTCAAATTCTCTGATCTCTTTATATGTAAAAATGCATTAATTAAATCTAGTAACAAGAGAATAATGTTGAAATTTATTGAGATTTATGCAAAAACGATATGTTAAGAGTTCATTCATACACGACTATAATTAATAAGATTATAGGTATATTATTTTATGGAATTAGAGAGGAAGGAAACGTTGATTTATTTTAATCATTTATTGATTTTAATCGTTCAATGAGATTTATACGAGGCAATTGTCCATAATGACCGCGATAACGCGCACGTCGGCATCGAGCGAGCTTTCTTAATTCAACAAATTCGTTAGTTCCCAAATTTCCGATTTCCGATTTGTTCTACGTTGAAATATTATCCGCCTTTCTCGATTTTCCGATAACTTTAAAGCTTACACAGACAAAAAGAATAATTGAATTCCTCTCGAGGAAATAATCGTACTGTCAGCAAACTGGCGCAGAATGAATTCTCATAGAGAATCGGTAAAATATTTGGGATGACCTCTCACTCTCTCTCACTCTTCATTTCTGTCTCTCATTCTCTTCTCTTCGAGGACAGATTAAAACCCGAAGGGGCCGAGGTCGGCTGACGATTTTTCTCTCTAGATCACATCAAACTGCGCTCTTTTCCATCTATAGGTATACTCGAGTACATGCGTATATATCAGCAGGGCTCGTCAACTCCGTGCTTCCGGCGCCGGGAGAGAGAGATAATTCGCCGATGCTTTTGTGTTCTGAATGGCTATAAATTCAGCTAAAACCTATCAGAAGAGCGAATTCTGCTTCCTCATTCTGCGCATCGATCGTACTCCAGGATTCGGCGCTACGAAAGGAAGTTAAATTTTCGTTGTACATTTCCTGCGCTTTATTGATGAACTTGACGAAAATCGATGCAAAAGTGACTTCGAAAACTAAACTTTGCTTCCTCACCGAAAGGATGTTTTCAATGATAACAATGACAATCTTTAATTGTAAAGTTTGCTTTAAATTGTGCTTTAATCAATTTGTTAAAATAATAATATATAATAAAATAATATATAGTAAAAGTAAGAAATAAAATATAATAATTTTATTTCTTACTTTTAAGTTATCTTTCTAATAAAGCTTGTAATCAAATTTTCATTTAAAAATCATTACCAAAAAATTTCAGAAGAGACAATATATATATTTACTGTCAAATAATATTTTATTAATTTGTACTTATTGAATATTATTACATATAAAAAAGTATAAAACGTAGCTATATATAATAACTATATAGCGGAAGAGACGTTTTTCTTGTTTAAATTACATTAAATTTGTTTTTCATTTTTCCGTATATTTAAACATTATAGTGCGCTGGTATTGCGTAATATTACATGCACATTAATTCTGCGAAAGAAGACTAGAGATGAATTCTTTCAACCCATTTTGTCATTATTAGCATAGAAACATGAAATTGTCTTAGCTTGAACAAAATATTTTAGAAAATTAAAAAATTAAAAAGATTAAAAAGAGTCACTTCTCGTTTAAAATATCACAAACTTGTTTTCAAGAATCACAATTTAATATTAAAATATATTAATACATTTATTATTAGAGAAAATTATACCAATAATGTAAAATTGAAATATTCAACACGACAAGTAATTTTCTCGGCAACTAGAACATATGTAAAAATTTATTGACAGTTAATTAATTTTTCATCTTCAATATAGCTTATTTATTTCATGTTTGGTTTGTTTTCTCATCTTTCTATTTACAAAAGCTAATTATTACATGCAGTACAGTTAATATCAGGAACGATCATAAAGATATTTATTATGTGGCAACTGAATCCTTGTCAAATTATTAATTTAATTGCCATTATTTCGAATATAGAAAATATTAGAATCAAACACTTTTCCTGTAATATGGCTAATAACAACATGTATATAATTTTGATATTGAGTGTTTTGTGAAATACAAAAAGTACGTGTTAATACACACATAAAGTTTACTTTTACCAATATCGGAGATAATAATAGTTATTAAGACATTGAAAATATAATAAACACATTAAAAGTCTGCTACAATCAACGACTGATAAGTTATTTTGATAAATTGCATCCATAAAATTAAGTATGCCACAAATGAAGATTATTCGATCTAAGATAAGAGAATATGTGGAAGTAGTAGTAGTTTACGTATACAATACACAGATATTTTCATGCAACAGGTGGCCATATCTATGAGAATTCAAATTAAACATCCAAATTTAACGCATTTTGCTGCACGTCTAACAATCCTGGTTTATTGATATTTTATTTTAGCGTGTCGTCATATTATCATATATACATATATTGTCACAATCTTGATGTATTTTATGTGTATCATGTTTTCTTTTACTTACTAGAGAAAAATAATTCATATAATAAATAATAAATAAAATAATTCCTTTCTTGAAACATCTTTCTTGCCCATTTTATTATTAAAAAAAGCGTAATGGTGCCCTTTTAATTTCTTAATCCTATCAACCTTTATTTTGTCATGACTTATATAAATTAATAAAATTAATAGAATTAGAGTAACTATATTATTTTTTTTTGTAATTCTTCGTATTAGTATTTCTAGTAACTAAAAGTTTCATAAGATTTCTACAAAAGTAAATTAACGAGAACTTATTATCATTATCTTTTTTTTTCTTATCCACAATGAATTTTTGCAAAGAATTATTTCTGGCAAATTTAGGCCAGAATAAGCATTGTAATATTTTTTCAAGTAACCTATACTTTGTGCAAACTTTTGTACTTTTAATTAAATTATTTTCTACATAAATAAAAATTTATAAAAATATATGGCAAATTTATTTTACTATTTTTAATGCATTTCTTGATATAACTTTGGCTTGTAATTATAATTAACATTGTACATGTGTACAGTTTGAATCTAATTAATAGAGAAGTCTAATTCTTATAAAATACATTTTACTGTTTGTATATAGTTATGTTAATATTTTTGGTCATTAAGGACACTCCCATTCACAAAATACATCGTTAAGAGTAACTGCATAAGATATGATCTTACTAATGACTCTTGCATTTAAGGATTTAGCATAATGGTTTAATCCTATCTTACTACAAAGCGCATATATTAAAATAATTTATAAG